CTTTTCATCCCTAGCAAATGGTGATCTTAAGTAGCAAAACAGAGGAACAATCTCCAGTGTGAGGTTTAGTGCCAGTTTCATCTGCAGCTGAGAGCAAGCAAACAATGCCCAACACAACCTACCCAGGCCAGTGGTCAATTGGTATGGCCCCATACAGCCAAACAATGTCAGAGTTCCATTAAAACACAATGAACAATACTTGCCATTGGTGAGATGTTCAAATGCCAGTGTGTTCAGAGAGCTGGGGAAAAATATGGGGGAAAGGGTACTAAAAAGAGAAGTTTCTAATTAAATACTAGGCTTTAAGAGCATGAGTAAGAATCACCAACTCGGGAATGTGAGCAGAAGGATGAAGGATTACCAGAACTGATGGCATTATAGACAGGAATCCCTTTAAAGAAAGACAGTCCTATATTTAGACTATTGTATTTAATTCATCAACAAAACTACAATAGTAACTAATATTTATTACTACCCCCAAATGGGCTTTCAAATAAATATGAAATTTTATTAGCATACACTTGTTTGTACCAAGTGCAAAATACCCAGAGGAACAAGCTCTATAATTTAAAAAATACAGGTCAAATCAGTTCTTTTATTTTGACTATAAAGGGAATAATATTTCTTTAACAGTATCTGCTCATGGAAAAGGATCAAATCTCTGCTACTGAATATTTCTTAAACATCTAGAAAATGGTTGGTGGTAAATAAATACAAAATGTAATTATCTTCCTAAGCTTAAAAAATGAAACTTGTTTTTCCAAAGGGAATATTCGCTGGGGTAACCAGGCTGTTACAACAGCTAAACAGTTTGACTGTGCCCTGACAATTCTTTTCCACAACACTCTCACTGCTAACTGCTAATCACAGAAAACTTGGCCCTGTATCTCTTTCCAGATAATAGCTTAATCATATAAACAAGGAGGCTGCTGGAATAAAGGATGCAAATTCTATTACAGATATGAGTAGACACATAGGACAGAGAGAACTCAGTATGTGCAGCTGGTGCCAACCTGTGTAACTCTGGCTTTAGCCTGCTTTTCTGACCGACCAAGGCTTGTGCAGTCTGACACTGAGAGCCCTTACTAATGACAGTGATTCAGAGAGGGTCGTGTTCCTGAAAGGGCTGTGCAACTTCACAAATGCTGCAGCTGGCACAGACAGGAGCAGGTCAGAGGGTTTGTATTGCCTTTAGCAGATGTGAGAAGATATTAAAGGGAAAGTTGAATCTTTGTTCCTTTCCCAGTCTTTTGTATCATGCGGAGCACAAAAACATTGACATCAGAATTGATTACTTCGAACATTTAGGAAGCTGAGAAACTCAAGTGATGCACAGGTATCTCTGCCCATCAGCTGGTCCTGGGAACAGGTGAAGGAATCCCGTATGCGTGTGTGTCTGGGGAAGTTTGTAACTAACCACAGTGAAAGAAAGTGGAAGGTTTGTTATTTTCTGGATAGGAAGTGGCACCGGCAGTCCCGGGATGCGGGAACACGGGCAGTGGTACCGGCAGTCCCGGGATGCGGGAACACGGGCAGTGGTACCGGCAGTCCCGGGATGCGGGAGCCGGGCAGTGGCAGCGGCAGTCCCGGGATGCGGGAACACGGGCAGTGGTACCGGCAGTCCCGGGATGCGGGAGCCGGGCAGTGGCAGCGGCAGTCCCGGGATGCGGGAACACGGGCAGTGGTACCGGCAGTCCCGGGATGCGGGAGCCGGGCAGTGGTACCGGCAGTCCCGGGATGCGGGAGGAGGCGCGGGCTCGGTGTCCCGGCAGAGCCGCCCGGTGGCCGCACGGTGCACTGCAGGCTGTCCCAGCCCGAGCCTCCGGCCGCGCCGGGAATGCCGGAGGGACAAGGAAAGGGCTTTGAACAAACCGGGGCAGCGGGACCTGCCCGAGGGGTCTGATAAACAGAGCTTCAGGGCAGGATGCACGGGCAGCCGTGCGCGTGTCTGCTGGAAAACCTGAGATCTGTTGAAGGCTGAAACGTTTTGCGTAGAGGGAGGAAAATACACTGTTTGCATTGTCCCTGTCAGATGAGGATCGAAGCCTCTGTCCCAGAGAGAATCGGGGAACTTCAGAGCTTCTGCAGCTGATCTTTCAGGCTTGTTGAGGACATCTCTCAGTCCGACTGCAGTAAGAGCTTGGACAGTGTCTAAATGTGTAACTACAAATTCAGATTTGGCTCCTATTCTCTCCGAGCTCTCGTAATATTTCCATTCCCAGGTCTAACAGCAGTATCCTGTGTTTACACGTAAAGTAAGCAGTGTGCATCTAGTAACTACAGGCTCTAAAATTTGGTCTTGTAAGGTTCCACTACTGAGTATCCCTTGGGCAGACACGAACTGTCAACTATTTGTAATTATCTTACCAAGAGAAGTATTATGTTGTCTCACCTGTTCTCACAGGTGAGAAGAGCAAACTCTACACACAGTGGATACTGACAGGTATGAGCAGGGCTAAATCTCAGGCAGAGCATGGGTGCAGTAAATACATACTTATTTCAGAGTTTTTCTATGGTGCTATGAAGCTTGTTTATGTAACTAGATAGCTGAAATAATTTCAACCCCCACCCTTAATGAAGGTCCATGTCTCAACAAAAACAAAAGCTCATGCAGGGCTCAGACTGACAGGCTAATGGGTAATGGTTGCTTTTCCAAGATTTTTCTGTCTGTGGGAAAAGATTTTCTCTGTCTGTGAGACCACAGATGACAGGAGACATCAGAAATAGGTACAGGAGCTCTGGGATAGAGCAGTTCCAGGAGCAGGAACAAAGTTCAGGAAATCAAGAAACTGTACTTTGAAGAAATGATCTCTTGTTGTTTGACAGATTTCCTCTGCATCCAAGGAACTTTTAAAATAAACATCATTCAGAGATACCTGACTGTATCATAATTTTCTCATTCCTAATGAATACAATCTGCAAAGTTCTGTTTTAACTCTCTAACAATCAGGTCAAGAGGGGGAATACAAATTTTCAGCCATTTCTGTTTAAGGCTAGATTTCTGCTGGTGGTCTGTAAATACAAGATTTTCTAATCTATTGTCAATCTTCTGACATATCCAGTTGCCACTTTTTACTTCTGCTTAAAGCCTTCAAATAAGTTCTGGACTTGGAAACAGGATAGTTTGAACTAAGTCTCTCTTTTAATCTTCCTTTATCACCTCTCCTTTTCTTTACAAGCAATTTCTTTACTTGTGTGTTCAAAAAAATACTTGCATTAATTTCAGCTAGGAGCAATATTTAGAATTCTTTTTATGGTGCCGTGCTCCTGGCTTTTGTAAACAATACTAGAGAGTAATTTAAAAGATAATTTAAATGCCAGTGCTCTGGCAGAACAGGCTGAGGATATTCCAAATCCACAAAGAAATGTAGTTTAAATGTGCATGCAGATTGGTAAAAATACAGATTACTGGTTTACTGATTTTATGAAATACATGTGTGGAAAACACTGTGCTTGTTATTAAAAAAACCCAAAAGACAACCAGCCAAAAATGCCCAGACTGTACAAGAATGTTGTTATATCTGGAGTGTTCTTTCCTTGCAAACCCTGCCATTTCAGTTTGTACTAGCAGGCACTGCTGGTTTGTTATACAGGGAGTTGGACTCACACTTGCAAGGGTAATGGAACCTCTCTGAGGTTTGTAAAGGTTCTCTCCACCTCAGAGGACACAGTGCAGCTGCTGTGACAGTGAGGCTCAGAGCTGTCACACCCCAGGCAACTTCACAGTTGTGCCAGAGCAGCTCTTTCCTACTGCTGCTGCTCTTCCCAACATCTCTAAATATACTAGAGGATCTAAAGAGCTACACATTTTAGGGAAGGACATGTAAATCTGCTCCAACCCTTTTCTCTCCTCCTTACTATGTCACTTCCTCATGTAAGACTCTTGTTTTCTTTGGAAAAATCTCCTTTCACTTCTCAAAACAATCTCCTTACATGTTTTGTCTTGGTGTTCTCTAGATGCCTGGGCCAGGACCCGGTGTGAGTCTGTGGTTATAAAACCAGTTTCATGCACAAAGCACCTGACTCAGCTTTGTTCTGTGAAAAACCATGAGAAGGAAGATGTCAGGGTAGATGATTTAAAAATAAAATTAGTGCCGTTAATCATGTTCATTTTCAGCAATTGTCAGCGATCTGAAGACTAGAAACTTGTTTTTTTCTCAAAGTGGAAGATGAGGTCTTGATGGATGAATTAGGTTCCAAAAGTGGAACCAAATATTGCAGTAATTTTTCCTCAGCTCTGGTAAAGTTAGCTTTGTTACCTTCCATCTCTTTAATAACCTCTCAGCCTCAGCACATGAGAGAGTTTTTGGCCATCCAGCTGCTGTGTTTTTGGGACTGCAGTCAGTGGGAAGGCTGAAAAAAGCCTGCCCTGAGTTACACCTCCCACTGCAAAGGCAGCTGCCATGCACCAGTCAGAACCAGCACTGAGAGCATTAATTCTGCCACTGATAAAGTGCCACCACTAAAGGGTCTATCTTTAACAAATGAAGAAATCACTTTCACTTCCAGCCAAAGACAGCTATGTATTATTAGTTCACTGGAGACACAGGGTTTTTTCAGTATTTATCATGCTATAAACACATACAGCACACCTCAGAATACTGCAGGACACTACAAATTAACTGTGCTTTTCATCATATTTGTATAGTGTATTATTTTAATTGTTTAGATTTAAGGAAGGCTTTTTGATAAGGTGGGTTATTTATTCCATGTATTTAACTTCTAAGTAGCTTGAAGGGAAAAGTCCTCCCATTACGGGGAAAAAGAAAACAAAAACCCCCAACACATTAATTTTAAAGCAATTGGTACCTATATGAGGCAGAAATAGTGTATGGCAGAAATTATTCTATCAACTTAAATACATGTTTATGGCTCCACTGTAAATATGAATGTGTAGCAGCACCGATGCCTCTGTCACTGTCACCTACTAAACCATTGTGATGACAAATCTCATTTAGGAAACCTCAAAAGTTACTGGAATAATAATTGTCTTCACTTACCTTGAGACAACCAGAGGGAGAATCAGCATTTTCAGCATCCTCATCAGTAACTCACCAGGAAACTGGAAGTAACTAATTTCCTGGAAATACATGGAGAGATGCTTATTGTTTTGAGCTAAAGACTGACTGTCCTCACGAGTGCTGCCAGAGCTGTGGGTCAGATAACATTGCTAGAATCTGCACCTTTGGTGCAAAGACAAGATGGCAAAGATAGCAGGCTTGAAAAGGTAATTTTTAAATTAATTAGATTACATAATGTGCTCTTATTCAATAAACACACTGAATTGCTCATTCCTTTACAAAGGAAGACAAAAATGAAATGTGCCATCTCTTGGAGACCGCTGTTAACCAGTTGCCCTGAATAATCTCTCCATTCTTATTTTGTCTGTTTTCTAGGTGTGTTTGAAGCTATGGTTTGGACATAAACAATGTTCAGACAGTCAGTGGCTTGCAGTAGCAGAGGCCAGAATTGATTTAATTTAGTTGCATTTACTAAATGCCGTATTTTTAACAGATTTCTATTTTGTGCTCAAACAGTGCATTTATCAATGCATGTTGCTGTCTAGTCTGTCTGACTGAGACAGCAGAAATGAGCACCAGCAAAGGGCTTAGTTGAAGTATGCTGGGGGAGAATTCCCCAAGTGACTTCAATAACATGTTCTGCTAATGATGGGAAATCTCAAATTTATTAATATGAAACACCATTAGTGGAATATAAACATCTGCACCCCTGTGCATCTGATGCTGAAAAATATTCCCAGTGTTTTCTTTAGCTGTATGTGTTCCAAAATAGTATAAAATGCAATATATTGCACTCCCAGTTTCTGCAGGCCTATATGAAATGCTACATTTCACCTAGCTTAAATGCCCACTATTATTATCCATACCTGCAACATTCTGCTGTGCTCCTGCTACGCTTCCCAGGAGCCTGAGACACCAGAACCCCTTGCTAACCTGTTTGAGAATGTGTGAAAAGACCCAAAGAACAGCATAGACTGACAAACAGATGAAATCAAACCATTTTAATGAACACATACATGTGACTTTTACCTTCCAAAGCCCACCCTGAAGTTCCCCAAGGTGCACATGTCTTTTGTTATGTAAGTCTGGCATTTCCTCTGCAGGGACTTGCTGTGAGCTGCTCTTACCTGCTGGGAGAGGCGCCTGGTCCTCAGGAAGAATCCCAGGAGGCAGCCGATGGTGACGGACAGCACGGAGAGGATGAGCAGCCCATTCCTCTTGCAAACATCTTTGATCCGAGCGAGGATTGCGTCCAGGGCCCCGGCCATGCTGTCCTGCCTGCTCTTTGCAGAAGAATCAGCATCCCATGGGGAGAGAATTCACGGGCTGCTCCTGTCCGGGTGCACAGATCTGGCTCTGTACAGATCAGATCAAAGCACTTCCAGTTCTGCTTAGCTGACCCGCAAGGTCACCCCTCTGCCAATAGCCACCAAGCAAGCAGCTGGCATTATTGTTCCAAATTAATACCAGCAATCCTATTATCAACTACATCATTAAGAGCCTGGAAGAAGATTAGGGGGCTCTGGAAAATTAGAACAGAATGCAGTAGTATTTCTAAAACAAGACCAGTTCAAAACAAAGTTACACTGCTGGGGGAAAGGAGATGCATTCCTCAGCCTCCCCAGTTTGGGGTCTGGACACCCAAACCCTGAAAGGCAGCCCTGCAAGCCAGCAGTCACACAGGGAACAGGGCAGTTTTCCCAAAGGGCAGAGCAGGTGACAGCAGGTGACGTTTTGAACAGGACTATCACAGCAGGGCAAGCTAGGTGAAACTGGACTTCATTAATTAAAGCAGGCTTGGTTTTTTTTGTTTTCATTGCCAAAAAAAGGCTGAATGAGCAGCATGAGAGACACGATCAAACAGGAAATAGCCACAGACTGGAACATGCAAGGACACCTTCTGTCACTGGGCATTTATTATCTTGGAAGTGAAATGATTTCACTTTTCTTCCAACCACTATGTTGATTAGAGTAGGGCCAATTTACTTTCAGAGGATTATCAGACTAAGCCACAGGGATTGCTTTCCTTTCCTTTGCTGTGTCCGCATTCAGTCCCAGTGCTGCTTTTTATGCTAGTGAGTGTCTGATAAAAATACACCACCATAACCATGCACATGCCGTGCTTTCTTACAAAAGCATTTCTGTAGTTTTTGGTATATTCTGGGATTATTCAGTGTTTTTATGGAAAATATTCCCCACAGTACAACAAGGTTGTGTGTTTACAATATTACATTTTATACCAGGATCAAGTATTTGTTGTTGCATGCTCACGTATGAGTGAAAAAAAACTCAGGAGAGATTAAACTGTTCTTTTTTGGGGCAGGATCTCAATCCTGTGTAGTTGGTAGGACAAGGATAGGATACGGATACAGATATGGATATGGATACACACACAGAAAAAAAAAAGTGGGGTGGGGGGAAATAAAAGAAAAAATACTTGGAGTCTGTATGCGAACATAAAACAAAGAAGTGCATTGCAAAAAAAGAAAAGAGGATTGCAGAAAATGTTATTAATGAATCAGAACGTTTTATTAGTGTGTAAGAGGACTGGTGCTGAACCGCCGCAACACCCTGGTAACTGTGCTACCTTAGCAGCACGTTTCCAATTGGCTTTTGGAATGGAATAACAGGAAAACGCTTCGCGTTTCCCGGGCGCTCCCGGGGCTCCGGGCGGGGCTCCGGGCGCGGTGGGCGGGACTTAGTGCGATGTGGGCGGGGCTCCGGGCGCGGCTCTGGGCGGGGCTCCGGGCGCGGCTGTGGGCGGGGCTCCGGGCGCGGGCCGGACGCCATCATGGCGGCGCGGCAGCTGCTGAGGGCGGCTCCGGGGCGGCGCGGCTACAGCGGCGCGGGCGCCGCCGAGTTCCTGCACCGCAGCATCGTGCCCACCATGCACTACCAGAAGAGCCTGCCCAGGTACGGCGGGGCCGCCGCTCCGAGGGGCCGCGGGCAGGGCGCGGCGGCGGCGGCCCGGGGTGTCCGCTGTGAGGAGAGGGCAGAGGGAACGTCCGCCCTCCGGTGCGCGGCTCGCCCCGTGCGCGCTGTGTGCGGCCGGGTGTCAGTGTAACCGGGTGCAAGCCTGCTGCTGAAACGTGCTCTTGGCGCCCAAAGTAACCCCGGGAGTGTAACGGGATTGTGCTGTAGGAACAAAACTGCGGCTCAGAGAAAGCTGACAAAGATACCGAATAGAAAATTTGTGAGAAAGGGATGTCCAGCACCCCGCTGGGAGGGGAGGGAGCCGAACAGGGCTGGGAACCGAACTGTTCCTTCTGCAGAGCTGCCTCTCCTAGCAGCGGTTCCTGTATTTCCTGTAAGGGATTAGCTCCCATCACTGCAGTACCTTTGTCAAAAGACAGTCAGTTTGGTTTTCTGCCTTATTTCCCAAGAATATTATGGTGTGCTGACTGGTGTCCATCTATTACTTAACTTATTCCACAAGAAACTTAGGAGGCATTTGAATAACGTGCATATTACCCAAATTTATATATAACATAATAGTATATACAGTATAGTGTGTATATATTTTTGTATGTGTAGTGTATATATAATAGTATAAGGAAGGATATGGAAGAAAGGAGGCAAAAGAGAGATTGGTGTACTGACTGGTGTCCATCTAGTTCCTTGCTTAACTTATTCCACAATAAACTTATGAGGCATTTGAATAATGTGCATAAATATTACCCAAATTTATATATAATATAATAGCATATACATTTTTGTATGTGTAATATATATATAATAGTATAAGGAAGGATATGGAAGAAAGGAGGCAAAAGAGAGATGGATGTGTAAGAAACACAGCCTTCTTTCACACCCTTGCTCACCAAGTGCATATCTCTGTGTTCCACTTCCTTCAGACTGCCAGTTCCCAAGCTAGAAGATACAATTACGAGATACCTGAATGCCCAGAAACCACTTTTAAATGATGACCAGTTCAGGTATGGACAAACACACATTGCAGTGTCATGTTCTGCTTCCAAACCAAGTGTTAACGTAAGAAATGTGACTTGTGACAGCATTTTGACTCTTTTCTTGATTGTTGTAGGAAAACTGAAGAACTTGCTCATGCCTTTGAAAAGGGGATTGGAAGAGAGCTGCATGAGGAACTGGTTGCTCAAGACAATCAGAACAAGCACACAAGTTACATCACAGGTACATTGGTCTGCTGGGTGTAGGACAAGTCTGTAGATCATCATACTTCATAATTGCTCATGATGCCATAAGTGTTGTAGGCTGAAACTTTAAATAGCCCAGAAACTTGGAATAACCTGCTGAGAACACCCTCTGTGGCTGTATTTGGGCAATATCAGAGGCTGGGAGAAAGAAGAATGCTCATTATCTAATGTCATCTATTCTACACAAATTCTGGGTGGATAGAGAGTGGAACAATGGTATTTTTTCATGAGTTTATAGGGTTTAGGTTAAAGAGGAGCTTATCTAGCACTTCCCTTAAGGAAACTGAAGCAATCATTTCCAAATAATTCCATGTTATTTAGCAAGAAACTAATCGTTGAGGGAGGGGAGGGATCACTGAGTATAACTAAGTTTTGGAGGCAGAAGTGGTCAGTAGTTGGAACATAAAAACCCTTAAAACTGCAAAACAATATTCTTTTAAAGAGCCAAAGAAAAGGAGTGACAGTAATAGGAAAATGAGAATAAAAAGAAACAAATCAGGAGAGGGAGAGCATGTGTATAGATTATTCTTGCTTTTGATTATTCTGCTTTGGTATTGCTTCCACGTACAAGTGTCTGCTCATGAAAGTATTAGATAGCAGCAGAGATGGGAATAGTCAAATCCCTGTGGAAGAAGAATTTTCCATGTTGCCCAGTGAATGCACTTCTGTCCCTGCTGTGTGTTCAGACTGCCTGTTAAGGTGTTAGCTGCCACTCAGTCTGTAGAGAATACCAGATTATTTCACAAAAACTGCTCTTTGGTTTGTTGTATTTTACTTTCCATTCGCTTTGAACAACATCTTGGGTTTTAAGTGGTGGCTTTAGGCTGTTCATCAGTGCTAACCAGTATGCTGCTTTTTGTTTGTGAATGGTGGCGTGTCTGTATTGCTTTTTGCTCAGTTATTTTTCTTTATGCCTTATAAAGACCTGTTCCACTTGAAATTGGTTTCTGAAAGTATGTAGAGTTTCTCCACCCTGGACTTTCAAGTCTGGGTTTCAAAGGCTACGTGTTGATGTCAGATGTGGTTTTTAAAACTGTAGGAGTGTTACTTACTTACCTGTAAGAACCTGTAATTAAAGTTGTAACTTAGCCCCTGGCACTACCCATTGCCTTTCTTACAGTCCAGGTAGAAGGTTCAGCCTTCTGACCTCAGCAAGATGCACTCAGTGACAGAGAGTTGCAGAAATTAATAGTGTAAGAGTAGGTAAAGGCATGAACCACTCCACATGTAAGGTGTGCACCAAAACAGAGCTGGGGAGCTGCACTGTATGTCCTGGGAGTTAAGGTTTAGCATTGAGCCATAAAGAAAACAGGGAGTTGGCCCTTGTTGCTAATGACATGGACACCCTTGACATGGATTATTCCAAACCCAGTATTTTTGTGATTAGCCAACAGTATTCTTTTTCATTATGGGGGTTTGGAGAAGCCTTGGGTGAATTATTTCATATGTTTGTCTTGTTTAAAGGCACTTCAGTGTGTGTGATTCATGATCACTGTTGGACTACATGACCCTCTTTTTGACTCAGGAAGATGCTTTTATGTTCTGACCTCTTTCTCAACTCTCAATTTTCAGGTCCCTGGTTTGACATGTACCTAAAAGCACGTGAGCCTGTTCTTTTGAATTTTAATCCATTTATGTCTTTTAATCCTGATCCGAAATCGGAATACAACGATCAGCTCATACGAGCTACAAACATGACTGTTTCTGCCATACGTTTTATGAAGACCTTCAGGGCTGGTTACCTTGAGCCAGAGGTTTTTCACCTCAATCCAGAAAAAAGTGACACTGAGATCTTTAAAAAAATTATCCGATTTGTGCCTTCCTCAATTTCCTGGTTTGGTGCCTACATGGTCAATGCTTACCCCCTAGATATGTCTCAGTACTTCAGGCTTTTCAACTCTACACGGCTTCCTAAGCTCGACAAAGATGAGCTTTATACAGATGAAAAGGCAAAACATTTGTTAGTGTTGAGAAATGGAAATTTTTATGTGTTTGATGTTATTGATAGAGATGGAAACATGCTGAAACCCTCAGAAATACATGCACACTTGAAATACATCCTTAGTGACAACAGTCCGGCCCCGGCCTTCCCTCTTGGCTACCTCACCAGTGAAAACAGAGACACATGGGCATTGCTGAGGAAGAATCTACTGGACAATGGCAATGAAGAAGCTCTTCAGAAAGTAGACTCTGCTGTGTTTTGTTTGTGTTTAGATGATTTTCCCATTAAAGACTTAGTGCACTTGTCCCACACTATGTTGCATGGAGATGGTGCAAACCGCTGGTATGACAAATCCTTTAGTCTTATCATAACTAAGGATGGCACTGCAGGGATTAATTTTGAACATTCCTGGGGAGATGGTGTGGCTGTGCTCAGGTTCCAGAATGAGGTTTTTAAAGATAGCACCACGACACCAGCCATCAGCCCCCAGTCCCAGCCTGCTTCAGTTGACTCTTCCAGAGCAGTGCAGAAACTTGACTTTAAGCTGAACGATGCCTTAAAAGCAGGGATTACCAAAGCCAAACAGAAGTTTGATGCTACTGTAGAATCACTGTCTCTTAACATGATTCAGTTCCAAGAAGGGGGCAAGGAGCTGCTGAAGCAGAAGAAGGTGAGCCCAGATGCTGTGGCTCAGCTGGCCTTCCAGATGGCTTTCCTTCGCCAGTACGACCAGACTGTTGCCACGTACGAGTCCTGCAGCACTGCAGCTTTCAAGCACGGCCGCACAGAGACCATCCGGCCTGCCTCTGTCCACACAAAGAAATGCTCTGAAGCCTTTGTCAAGGGGCTCTCCAGACACAGCACTGAGGAGCTGCAGAATCTGATAGTGGAGTGCTCCAAGTACCACGGCCGCTTGACGAAAGAGGCTGCTATGGGTAAGTAGGAATGCATCAAACACTTTTTGCACTAAAATGTCTGGTAAGGTTGCTGTAATTATTTACAACTCAATATTTTAATGCTGATGGACATCTAATGTAAACTTGACAAAAACATCAGCAGAAAGCTGCAGTTTAAAGTACATTGCCTCATTCTCACTCATTTCTTGATAGAGAGGAGTGCCTCTGTGCTTCCCACAGCACCTTTCATGTATTGAGAAATTTTTATACTTTAGTTTTTGTCCTTACAGCAGTTGGGACTATTTGAAGATTTACTTAGTGTGTGTTGAACAAGAACTTTGGCTTAAGTCTGAGGAGGTACTGTCTTACCTCTGCAGGAGATAAAGACTTTAACAACTTCCAAATTGAACTCATTTTTTGGCCTTGCTACTCCTGGCATTTTTGTAAATGCTTTCTTTTGAACTGTCCTTCCCAGGAGCATTAAAATTGACAGCAGTAAAAGTGAAGGTTGTATATTATCCCATAGAGTCTAAAATTTGCCTTCTTTTGTTGGTGCAAGATGCTTTTCCTCTTTAGATTTGTAAATTGTAGGGGAGGCTTTTTCTGCATTAAACAACTCGGCTATGTTCAGGTAAATAGTTAATCAAAGAATGTGATGTATTATTAAAATTATCTGTTAACACTGCACTTTTGTGTACTCTCCTGCTCCTGCTGAGCCTTGCAGTAAAACAAGCAGGCCCCATTCTCCTAGGACATGGGCATGAAAAGCCTGAAAAATATTTCCTGTCAGTACAAAAATAAACTCCAGTTCTACAGACCTCCTCTTTTGTGGCTGAGGTGAGTTTACTTCCCACAGAAGTCAGGCACCTCTCTCACCCCTGCTGCTTTCTTTCTGCAGGCCAGGGCTTTGACCGGCACCTCTTCAGCCTGCGCTACCTGGCCTTATCCAAGGGGCTGGCGCTGCCGGAGTTCTATCAAGACCAAGCCTACGCTCGCCTCAATCACAACATCATTTCCACCAGCACCTTGGTGAGCCCGGCTGTGCAGCTAGGAGGGTTTGGCCCCGTGGTGTCTGATGGCTTTGGAGTAGGGTATCAGGTGCAAGATGACTGGATAGGTTGTAATGTTTCCTCTTACCCAGCTAGGAATGGTAAAGAATACCTTGAGTGTATATACAAGTCACTAGAAGATATCTTTAATGTTTTAAAGGGTAAGAAAATTGGGAGTTAGACATAAAGACATTGGAACACTTTACAGTTGCAGAACAAAATGCAGATGATGTCTAACTGACATACTAATCAGTGTTCAACATGGATGAGACTGCCCAGCCTAACTGGGTTCATGTGTCATCACTGAACTTGAATACTGTTAAATTCACTAGGAAATTTCTATCTATTTCAAAGAAATCAATTACAGACCTTGAATGCATTTCAGGAAATACAGACATTAACTACATCAAATGAAGTAACAGATCCATGTGTTCTTAAAACACATAATCTAAAATAGGCATTTTTATTGAGTTAATGAACTTGGAACACCTGTGTTCCATGAATGTTTGGACAGACTACAGTACTGTGATACCACTCTTGAACTGTTTGGTTTTAAAAAAAATACATGCAATAATTTTAAACATGGAAGAGTGGTTCCATTTGCACTCTTGCAGTAAGCTTGCTTACTAACTTATCTCTTTAAACTTGAATTTATATCAGAACTGATTGTGCCTCAACTGCTTGAAGCCTTTCCACTATAACAGCTTTTAGAGACACAAAAAATGAAGTGGGAAGCTTTAAGAAACCTGCAGTCACCAACTAGGTTGTTAAACTGACTGAAACTACTGTATTTTAATAAAGCTGCCTATTAATAACCACAAAGTTCTTTTATTGCCATATCTAAATCATACAGCACGGGGAGACCCTTTATCAATAGCTCATGTTCCTTAAAAAGGTTGGAAAGAAAACTGCTGCAAGCATTCTGCACTCTGTCTGGTATGTAGATCTTGAATTCCTCCCTTTTACCCTCTTGATTTCCACTCTTTTTCTTCTGGGAGGCCAAGTCTTTCTGTGGAGCTGAATTGCACAGTGGTTTTGGCTTCTGTGATCTGTGTAAGACTGATGCAGCTCATGACCCACTGGCATGGACAACCAAATGTATCAGCAGAACAGGAAGGTCTGAGCATATTGGTTGGACGTGAGAGATCAGGTTGAGAGGCTCAGAAACTACTTCCCTTTGCTCTTCCTTTGGGTATCTCAGTTTCCAGGTTCTCCCAGGGTCTTTTTCATTTAGCACAGTAAGTGTAAGCAATACCCTGTCCTGGAAGTATGAAATAAAAGTGCTAGCAGGGGAAAGCCTTTCATTTGTAAGCCTGAAGGCTTTACTCTTGTAATGTTCTAGTTTGCAGCTGAAAAGCAGTGTTTTAAAACTGACTTGAAAATGTAGCATGATTGTTTTTGTTCATTTAAACAAAGAAGGAAGGTGATAATTTGGGAAGATGCAGGAAATAGCGTATCAGGAAACAATTACCAGACCAAAAGTCTGAATAAAATTCACTAAAGACTGGCTGGGCTTTTTTATTTTCTTTTTTGGGTTTGTTTGGTGGGGTGTTTTTGTTTTGTTTTGATACATGAGAACAGCTGGCAAGATGGTGAATGCACTCGCCAAGGGGTACTAAGTCTGTCTTCACCCAAAAATGAACTTTACTTAATGATACACTTGGAAAGATACCCTGCTTTTCAGAGGACTGTAACTGTGTAAATGTCAGCAGCAGTCAAGCTTAGTAAGTATTCTCAGGAAACTCACCTCAGTCTTTACCTGAAGTGGCAGAAAGCTGCTTAAAGGTGCAGCTGTTCCCTTGAAGAGTTAACAGAGTGCCTTTACTAGTGCTTGTAGCCATTTCCTCATGACAGGAGTGGTGAGTGGGAAGACTTTATTTGCTTATGTTAGACAATCAGATGTAGGTACTTCCTGGTGACCAACTCTGAAAACCTTTAAGGCTGTAAGTTGTGTAAGCAGTTACTCAATGCATTAGCTAAGCCACAGTCCACCACAACCACGTCATTCCCAAACCCCACAGCATTAAGGACACGGCACAGTTCAGTCAATATGTACTATTTTCAGTTTGTACTGAGGCCATCTCCAAGTGCTCCATGGGAAATATTTTATTAGGGCATGCTGGGGACAGAAAGTACAACTCAGTGATGTTGGTCAAAGGTTGAACTCAATCTTGGAGATCATTTCCAACCTAAATGATTCTGTGAACTTAGGTTTCCATTTCTGAAGTGTGGCCATGTAAAAAAGTAACTCCAAGGAAGCTGTGTATGTGATGATTACAGCTCCTCCATCAATAACCATGTCATAATTTGTTAGGAGTATGAACTTCAGCATTTTACAAATTTATGGGTAACTTCATAGATTCCAACAGACTCCTTTGTTTTTTCATCATAGTCATTCCAGTCCTGTAGGAAATAAGATTTCACAGTGTTAGTCACAGAGAACAGAATGCACACAGACTGGAATTCAAACTGGAACTAAATGTTACTCAAAGTTTGGGTCTTAGATATCTGTAGAAAGTTAAATTTTAACAGGTGAGAGTAGCAAGATCACTAACCTGAAATTAAATGAGCTTCAGTCTCAGTGTTTTTATATATGTATATTGCTGGGGTTTGTTTTCTTATGTAGTTCCCAGCCTGTAGTGGACAAACAGCAGCCATGGCAGGTGAAAGGATTATCTATCATTTACAATACCCTGGTCAGGTGGGTAAGCAGACAAGCAGATCCCTGCCAAGTAGGATACCAGGGAACAGATGTGACCTTGAGATTCCTGCTCACACCCAAGAAGATTTGCAGTGCTGGTGTCATTATCCTGAGCTTTGAAGGACAGTGTATATATTACTTTTTAACCTCTCTGTGCACAGGACAGTGGGCAGGGATCTTCCTAAACAGCCATTTAGTATTCCAGATTCTTGGTCTCTGGAATTCTTGAGTGACTTAAATCTTTGTCAGCTGCTAGGTTAACAAATCCATACTTCTAAAAGGACACTGTAAGTAATGCTAGTTGTTTATACTTGATTCAGTTTCTCTCTCCATTTGTGGCCTTCCTGTGACTACAGGAAGAGCAAAACCAGTCTAGGGTGTGTATTTTGGAGTAGTGACATGGGGAAAACAAGCTGGGTAAGTAGTTTTGCTAGTGAAACTAAGACAACATACCTTTTCTAACAAGTTGATGTCATTGAAAGGTGTGCCAGATTCTGCGCCTTCAGCAGCAAACCCTGCCTGCAAACACATTTGCAGAAAGGTTTTTAAATTAAATTGTACTGACAAAATAACACATATGATCACTGAAACATCTAGAGAAGGTAGCTCAGCACAAAAATGTATTGTATTTCTTTTAAATTAGGCAGAAAGAATGGGCAAGCTCTTTCCTAGTTAGGGGTCCTAAGGTTGGGACCCTGCTTGTGCATTGGGAAAATTCAATCCAAGGAACCTGAGTAAAATGGGGGAACACTGCTCCTCTATTTTTCCCAGCAAAAAAAATTATTTCCAATTATTCTAGATAACGTTAAAGCTTAGTTTCTAAGTTTATGTAGCAGCATCCAATTACTGTTAATAGCTTTGTGTTCAGTGTCCACACAGGCATAACAGCTTCATAATACATTGCAAGGAAAGTCATTGAAAATGTGTAAGAAAGCTAATAATTCTGGCTTGAATACTGGAATCCAAGACACTCTAGAGAAGGAGCAGCTTGTATTGGATTTAGGTACACAAGTGACAAGCAAGCTTTATGTGTAAGGAGGATCAGCTGGCTGAGTGAACAGATTAGAATCCCAAACAAGCACTTCACAGGCACTTCCTCACTGCCTTCACTGTTGCTGTTTTTAAAGAGTGGAGGAAGGACAGCTCGAGGAAGGTGCTGTGGTTTATCTTCCATAGGAACACCTCTCTCACTTTAGGGTTCACAGTTTCCAAGCTGTACAGTAAGATTTACTAATTTTAAAAGTACATTTAAAAATCCCAGCCACTTCTGTAGCATGGAGGAAGGTTTCTTACACTGTCAATTCGAACTACAGAATTTTATTAACAAGTGGCTAAAAATCAAAGGTAGCTTCCTGGTTTTCTGCAAGGGATCTACACTTGCATTTTGGATAAAGAAATCCCCACTAATGATAGTCAGACATTTAGCTGCAAGAATGTGCGAAGTAACCACAAGACTTTAAAATATTTGGGGATTTCAATGGAAGGTTAAGCACTTGGGAGTTAAGTAAACCACAGAGTGTGGAAGATCTAAGAAATCTAACAACAGGAGAGGGATCTGCAGGGCACAGTGGCCTTTCAGTAAATGTCAAAAGCCCACGTCAAGGGAACTGGAGGCTGGGGTGGAGAGGAAGATCTGCATTGTGGGTCAAAACTGAGTATAGAACAAACACCAGAAAAATCAAAGGAGCCCTGCTTTTGCCACGTGGAGCCATTCACCAGCCCTGTGACTGCAATTGCAACTTCTGTCCTAGGTCTAAAATGAGGGTTTGTATCAGAGAAACAAAGGATACTTTCTCCTCTCTAACACTCAGATGTTTTGTGGTGGTGGTTGGGTTTGTTGGGGTTTTTTTTGATAACTACTATAATTTAAATAAGACATGCAAGCATTAAGCCACTTTAAATTGACTCCAGGTGTGGTTGTATTACATGTACCAAAAAATACAGAGAAAATACAGTGATTATATGGCCACATGCCATGTTCAGTGCTAATCAAAGTGAGGTCTAGGGTTGTGCAGAAGCCAGGCTGGCTAGGATCATGCCAAGTATAAAGCAGTTGACAACATTGTTTGGAACTGCAGAAGTCACTTGAGCATCAGAAAGCTCTCATTTACTGATTTAGGCATCCAAAAATTCACTGAAATATCTCTTCAGGGATTCAAGTACTCTCCAGTCAAGTGCACCAAACTCAGAATATTAAATTAAAACTTTTGTTACAGCTGTGAAGTATTTGCTCTGTAAATAAAATTGACAGCTAGGATGCAGAGCTATAAAGATCTCCTAAGTCTGGTTGCAAAGCTTTCAAGCAGGAATAAACTAATGACCATTATGGAATAAAGGAATAACCATTCATCAAAAAGATGGACTTCACTTAAATAAAGACCTCCCCCAGCACACTGCAGCAGCGATTCTATTTATATCAAATTCTTTGTAGGATCAGCTTTTTTGGGCTGTTTCTTAGCACAGCATCCCAGTCTGAGAGAAGGATAAGACAGGTTTATATTTGTCAGTCTATTTACACCTAATCCGACTGGAATAATAGGTTAAAAATAGCAGGGAGTTAAGTGGCATAGAGCATGACCAGGCACAAGAGATGAGTCACTGCAGACTGGCCCTGAAGAATCCTTTCACTCTGAACCTTGAGGTGTGCTTTGCACCAGCCTGTAACTGCCAGTGATCTTCAACCTTTGTCTGCTCAAGCTGCAAATGGAAAAATGCCAGTGTTCATCTCCTTTGGCTCTGGCGATGTCAACCCCAAGGAAAATCTGTTTTGTAAAGGACACTGAGGTGTTCATGAGCTCTGTAACGCATCAAAGGGTAAGTGGTGCTCTGTCTAATGCTGCACTTTTCCTTTGGGAAAGACTCTTTTGCAATGACCTGAGCAGTGAAGACCTCTCAGATGAATTCAGATTAACAGTGAGTCACCTGTGAGGCAGGTTAAGTACGACTCCAGGGTGTGCTTAGCTCTGGATTTTACTGGCACAGAGAATACCAGTTGTTTGTGTTAGCTCTTGGCAAATGTTTGGTTTGGTTTGGTTTTTTTCTTGAGTCAAATGAAATAAAACAAGGAACTGTGGATGGATGGGAATCTGGGAAGGTCTAAGATGTTCCAGAACCATTTCAAATAGTGTTTATTTTACCACTCTGGAAGAAGTGCTTTTAAAAACAGAAAGAAATCACAAATAAGAACTCACCTGTGGTTGAAAGTCAACTGGTTCCAGACCTCGGCATTCAAACTCCACAATTGTTTTGAATTTCTCGCTGTCTTCAGCCTGTGATTGAGTCAGAAAACCATTAGTTTCCATCTAATAGAGACAGTGACAAGCCTTAGTCTAGGAATGGATTGCTCTAAAGGCAGCACTGTCATCTCTGATGCCCCTGGTGACAGCAGAATCCTAGGGCTCATTTCATAGGTGGTCACTAACTAGAATTTCTTAATCTGCCAGGAAGCCTTCAAAAGGAAACCTGGAGGGGCATAATATAATCAACTCTCATTTGAGTGGTACAGTTCTGTGTTGGCTTTTGAAATGTATCAAATTATTCTACACTTGATGCTATAAAGAAGTCTACAAGACAATTTCTGCCCAGGGACCAGACCAGCTTTTGGTGTTCTTGAAGGAGGGTGATAAAGCAAAAACTCAAAATACTGTTAATGCTTGTTTATCTTTCACTTGTTACATAGAAGAGGAAACAAACTTACATTGTAGGGCTTGATTGTCTGACTTAAAATATCTAAAACAAAAAAAAAGTATACAAGTGAGTGGCACTATGTCTTCAGTTTTATTTAGCACAAACCAATCATCAGAATCTTCCTTCATAGCAATTTCCTTATACAAAGCAAATGAAATGCAAGAAATGCAAGGTTTTCCTACAGCTTTTCTCTTCGAAAAGTAGAATTCAATTTTTCTCCCTTCTCCTGAGAAGTTTACACTGCACCATTTTTCCATACCAATGCCCAAAAGATTTGCATGCTTTTGTAAAATAACAATTCAGATGAGTTTTGTTCATGCAGAAGGCTGGACTCACCAGGAGGCTTTGCTGTCTCCCTGAACGGGATGTCCAGAATGTGCCTGTTGGCAACTCAAGCACCAGTGCACAAGGGGAGAAATCCCTGGTGAAAGCTCTTTACACAAAAGGTGTCAAGCAAAAATGGGGACTGAAAGAGAAGCTGTGAAATGGATGATGCCTGGCCAGTGTCCGAGCACGTACCGATGGAGTTCTCCCTGGAGCACAGCTTGCACTTCTGCACCATCGTGGCGCTCCCTCGGCCGCCTTTCAGGGGAGCACTGTCCTAGAATCCATGACAAGAGGGACATTTTTAACCAAAGGTAAGGTAGTTTTTACAACAACCTTTATCTTCTTAAAAATACTGCAACAAGGCAGCTTTTTTTTTTTTAACTACAGAGATTAATAATTTAACAAGCTGCGATTATTGAAGAAAAACTCTGTTCCAGACTTTAAATAGCCAATAACGGGTATTTGTGTCTTATCCATATAGGCACGCTCTACTAATTCTTAACAATACATTCTTACCATTCAGCTGTATGCAACAAAAAGGGATGATTATTGCTAAGCACAGGCAAATATCCCTGACAAATTTTATCCTGCTTTTTCAGCTTCCAAATGCTGATTTAACATGCTTAAATCATCTTGATTTACCTAACCTTCTCCAAAAGGATTCCATCAGCATCAGAGAAATAGGCTACAGAGAAATATGTATTTACAGAAATGTTTTTAAAACAGATGTTAATACTTTGTTAGCAATGGTCACCATTCAAATGGCACCTGCCAATTAACAGTCTCCAAATATTTATCTTAATATGTAACATTACAATTTTCTAAATTCATATAGCTATTAAAAAACGATCTCGTCTAGAGGGTAAGCTGTCATATCCTTGATACGGATACATGCGTAAGAGGCAGGTTTGTGTTCTCATTTCTGCTCAGAGGTGGGTTACGAGGGGCACACGCACCATCAGCCGCAGGTACTGCCACTTTTCGGAGACTTCACCGCAGTTCCCACATTTCAGCTGGAGAACACAAATCGCAAGTTTGAAAGCTGTCAGTAATCAGGGACGTGCGCCGCTGCCGGCCCCGCTCCCGGCCCCGCACCTTGAGGTACCATCGGAAGTCCTCGCCCTCGGCCCGCAGCCGGGTGATGTTCTCCAGCGTGGCGCGGAGCTGCAGCCCGATCCTCTGCAAGGCAAGCGGCGGAGCGGCGTCAGCCCCGGCCGAGACTCACCCCTGTCCCCGCGGCCCGCGGGGCTCCGGCCAAGGCTCTCACCTACCCCCATGGCCGCACGGATTCCGGGCTGTTCCCCGTGCCCTCAGCCAAGATGGCGCCCCCACGCTCCCTGCCCGGCTGGGCCGGCGCGAGGCCGCGTCTGCCCTCAGCCAAGATGGCGGCCGCCACCGCCCCGCGCGCGGGAGCGGGGGGTGCCTGTGAGGAGGGGAGGAAGAGCGGGAGACACCGTTTTCAACATTACACATAAATCAATCACTTTTTTGAATTTTTTTTTTTTTTTTTAAGTCGCAGCGTCTTCTTACAGAGCAGACGTGTTAAGAGAAAGCAAAAGCGTGGTTTGGCACCACTGCCATGGGGTGCGCCCTCAGGGCCTGTGGAGACCCCTCAAAGTCTTTTAACGAATGCTGCACACAGATCTGCTAGCCTAGAACTAAACTAAATATATTCTAGTTTGCTTTTCAGCTTCTCTGAAGCTGAACAGGACGGTCAGTGAAGATCCGGGATGGCTCCTGGGTGGCCTGCTGTTTGTCTCTGCTCTGGAGGCAAGCGGGTAACCCCGGGCTGGGACGAAGGTGACGTGTGTCTGCTGTAAGATTTACCTGTGCAGAGTCAGATGTCGTCCTTGGCTGGCCAACAGAATGCACAGCTCAGGACAGTAACAAAAGTTTGCCTTGACAACTGGCAAAGTTTCGTTTCACAGAGCCAGGCTTCATTCCTTTTTCCACTGCCGTGTAGAGAAGTAGTGTGTGGGTGATACAAGTGAAGTGACACTCTGAATGCACCATTATAAGAGAAGTATTAGAAGTCAGTCTCTCACCACAGCTTAAAAATTAAAAACGCAAATCTTACCCTTTTATTGAGTCACTGACAGTTTATAACAACAACAAAATAACAATCAAAAAAATAATCTAAAGTACAAAAACCTTTCAGAAACAATGAAGAACTGGAACAGGATCCTCCCTTCCCATCCCTACTGCTAACATTGCAACAGAAACTTCAGTTTGTCTGATTTAAATTGGCTTAATCTTGAAGTGGAGTCCAATAAGACTGAAGACGAGACATTTAAGGTCTTGGACCAGGTAGTAGAATACTCTCAAGCCCTCTGGATCTCTGCAGTTCACAACAGAAGGAAGAAAGGGGGAAAAAAATTAAAATATTTTTAAAAATGTTAGACTGATGCTCTTAAAGAACAGGCTACAGAACTAATGTATTAAAAAAACCCCAAAGCCTATATGGGGACTTTTTAGATGTCATCTTAGACATTAACAATTTGTTTCATTCTACACTGACTGATTAAATATTCTGTACTCCAACTGTGAACCTTTCAAGTTTTTACAAAATATGCATTTTTACCATGAAAACAAGTATCAACAGCACTTAGGATTTTACCCCCCACCGCCCCTTCCCCACAACAGTCAGTCTTTTCAGCTTAGGTGAAATCCAGGTATCTTGATTCTCCCAAAGAAACTGGCACAAACAGGCCAATGGCAGCTCAGACTCTTAACAGGGCACCTACAGCAGGGTTTGCTTTCAGTGAATTTGGGAACACAGCCTGTAATGCCACAGACTAAAGGCATTTGGCACATTGTGCTGCAACACAGAGCACTGGTGCCCCCAGGAGCCGATTCATACTTTGATATTATATAAAATACATGTACCAAATAATCAGAAAGTTCTAACACAGACTGGTAAATAGAAACAAGGGCAGAATAAAAAGCAGAGTACGTACTTAGACTGATTTACATCAATGAGGGAACCGATTTTTGACGTGGTAAAGGAGATGTGCTCGTCACCAATTACTATCTCGAGCTCCTGAAAAATAAAAGCTTATAAGAACTCACTGCTTTATGGTACCAGTTACAGAAATACTTCAGTACTGTGATGGTTTTCATTACAAAATTCTACTACAAAGATATCAAATGCAGCAGGTCTGTGGATCATATTAGCTTCCACAGCTACACTACCATTGAAGCATTACTCAGGTTTTAAAGCAGTATTTTTTTCCCTTTGAGCTGGAAAAAATACTGGCTTGAAAAAAAAGTTTAGTTATGCTTCCAAGGACCTAACATACGAAAATTAAAGAGCAATTAGAAGAGACGCCATGCACTGTACCTGTCGGCCCACTCTGTCAGGAGGAGGCCACAGAGCATCATCTTCTTTCGTGATTTCACTGTCGTCGATTATTCTCTTCAGCTCTTCCATCACACTCTTGTGCACATAAGCCTGGACACAACATTCCGGCAGAGAAATAAATACAGCCCTGCCCACAGCGCCCCGGCAATGCCACCCAACCCACAGTCCCTCAGGCTGGCACAGCCGCCCTCAGCCGCGCTGCCCTCACCTCCTTTCGGATCATCACATCGTTCTTGTAGTTGCTGTTGTTGGCGTAGCGCAGCTTCCCTGTGGGGAGAGGCCGCGCATTAAACCGCGCCGGGGGCCCCGCGGCCCGGCAGCCCGCCTGCCCCGGCCCCCCGCCCCGCTCTCACCGTCAGGCCGGAATTCGAACTCGAGGAACTCGTGTCCGAATTTCCCCTTGTGCCCCACGTAGTATCGGAGGTAGAAATCGCTCGCCATGGCCCTGCAGAGAGGATCTACGTCACCAGAAGGAAGCGGAGCCGGCGCTGCTCGCTCGGAGCGGCCGCGGCCGCCGCCTGGCGGGCCGGGGTGGAGGCTGCCCGTGAGGGGCAGCCCGGGCCCGTGAGGGGCAGCTCGGGCCCGGGCCCGGGCCCTCAGCGGGGCAGCTCCGGCACCGGGCCGGCCCCCGAGCGGGACACAGCCTCGGGACAGCTGGGGAGAGCCACAGCGACACGAGATGGTGCCAGGTGAGCCATGGCCACCCCTCTGCTGCTCCCAGGGCAGAGTGCCAGCCCTCGGTGAGGGAGCAGTTACTCACTGGTTACTCATAAGATAGCGTTCTAGTGATTATTAGTCATGGCAGTGGAAGAGATGATGTGTGGGTCGCCATTTGTGATGGGCACTGATGGTTGCATTCAGTGCTGCTACAAGAACTTGAGTTACACTTAGTTATGCTTCACTTCTTCCAAGTTAGAAGGGGCCCACCAAAACCATCAGATATATATTTTGATAAAGTGCCTACCCAAGGATCGAACCCTAGAGGTTGGCATTATCAGCCCCATCCGCTCCCCACTGGGCTATTCCCACAGGAGGTGGTGAACATCCACCGGAGCGCTGATCCCAGAGCTGGTGGTGAGTTCATCCCAGAGGCATTTCCTGACCTCTTTTCTGCACAGACGGAACAAACACCACGCATTTATGATTTTTGAGCAAAATTAACTACAAGGGGATAAGCTTTTGTCTTCTGAAGCAGTGTGGTGCCTCACTGGGACTGGTGTGTTGAGATCCCTCATGGCAGGTGGCCTGAGGTTTGGGAGTGAATGCATTGGGGGTAAATCCTGCCCTTTTCTGCTTTGGGAGCTGCTGAAACAACATAGCCAGAGACACATCCTTTCCTAAAATATTCCCTTCTGCAAGGGAAACCCAGAAACAGGGTATCTCTTGTGCTCACCACTAGATGGGACGTTTTTTACTGAGGACACAGGAGGGGGGAGGGTGGTTTGCACTGTGGTGGTGTTGGAAATGGGCTTGCACTGATGAGCATGATTTCATTCACATGGTGCTGCCTCACATCCCACTGCAGGGCTAATGGAGTTCTCTCTGCTTTCCTTAGAGTTATAGCAGGGCTAAATCAGGCAATATTTACTCTTATTCGTTGTTTTTCACAGCTTTGTGCTTGAATACTCAGTTGCATTCTGCATTCTTTAGGAATGTCCACTCTAGAAAAGTTGTTTCTTTAGTAGGAGAGTCCTACTGATACAGAAATAGCCAACCTGATGCTTTATAACATCTGCAGGTACTTCAAAGAAATTAAAACATAACCTTAAAAATGTAACATTTGTATTTATACCAGACTGAAGGATTTTTGGCAGAATTATTACCCTTACTTTGTGAATTTGGCTGTCCAATCTAAAGGTAATACCATCTACTGTCTGATTTGTCCCCATGTTCAGAGGTTTGGTATTGTTTGGTTTGGGGATTTTTTGGTGAGAGAATTACTTCACTGTAATTGTCTAAATTGTTTATAAGCCTTTTCAGGAATATCAGTGCTTAATGTAAATTTATTTAAATTACTGTGTTGGAAGGAAGAGCAAACTGGCATAGGAGTTATTCCAAGAACCTGCATTTTAATTCCTTCTGGAGGTGTCAGCTGTCTTTGAGTTCTCTATATTAGTTCTAACATTTTATGATAAACACATACTATATATAGGTGAGGTAAAAATGGTTTTTTGCTGTGTGTATATTATGTTTTTTGTCCAAGTGAAATAACGATCATGTTTGATGGCAATACAATGGGTAAAGAATTGCTGCCAGTGTTGTTTGGGTTATCTTGACACATTTACAATCCCAAACATGCTCTGCTTGAATGCATTGGCTTAAGGATGTGTTTGTGAAAGGCATAAATGTGTGCATTGTAGTTCTATTCATTCTGCATGTGTAAACAGTGGTTCTTCTGCCTCTGAAGAAAATATCTCTATAAACGCACATTTTTAGCATTATTTTGCATATGATAGAAGGATTGTAATGTAACAATGTGCATATGGAATCTTAATACTGGTACTGGTTTATGATGGGTTTGGGTTAGGGTTTTTTGTTTGTTTTTGAAGAGGAGCAAAATGTACATGATTTTCTCCTCTGACCTATGGGGAGTGGGTATCTGTGGGACTTGGAAAAGTGGGAGAAATCAGATGAACATGCTCTGAATACTTCTATTTATTTGGGTTTTTTTCTCATGTCAATAAAAGAGCAGATGGCTTGAATGAATCAACCTGCTTTGGATCCATAATTTAAGTTGGTTTAAGATTGCAAGATTTGTGATTGTTTCTTGAAATGGTTGTTATTTCTGCTATTTTATTCTCTTCACTAAAAATGTTGAACGCTTTGGAGAACTGGGTGACAGAAATTTTTTTTCACAGATTGCAAATAAATCAGGTTGTTTTCTGATATTTTTCCATGTCTGTAACTTGTGAAACTGTGTTCCAAACATAGAGAATTTTATACAACTCTTTTTCCTTGTATTTGCAGAGGCTTTAATTCTTACTGATTCCCCTATCAAAGAAACTGCTTTGGCTGGGGAAAGTTAAGACAATATAATATCTGAAAGTTAAAAAATCCCTAAAATACTTCTTTAAAATGTGTTCCATAGCATTTAATGCACTCCATGGTGTGGATCTTGGCTTTGCACGTAGATCCTTGTTAATCCTGCGTTATTTACTTGCTGGGAAGAGAATTTAGTTTTGTTTTTGAAGGATGTTAATTCCTTTGCCTCTGCATTGTGTGAGATAATGAGTGTGAAGATGCAGCTGAGTCAGCAGTGTGCCGTGGCTGCTGAGACAAACTGGGGGTGCTGTGTTAACCCAAGCTGTGCACTTCAATGCACTATTTACCAGAGTTTGCACTTTGAAATTGCAGTATGGATAAGTTCATCTGCTCGGTTAAAATACACTCTGTGAGAAGGAACATTTGTTGTTTTGGTGCCAAGTAAAACAATTTTGTTGCTGTGAGGTGAGGCTCTCCCCACAGGGCTGTGCTGCTGGGGCTGGTATCGACTGCCAGGCTCTGTTTGCTCTCAAGGCACTTCTCACTGCTCGTGACTTAGGAAACAAAAATGGGCTCTATTGACTTCTGTATTAGAACCAAATCCTAAGCCTAGCATGGACTCCTGGGTGTAAATGAGTGCCTGAAAAGGAGAAAGATTTGTGGAAATTAATTGAAAGCAGGACTGGGAGGGTCTGTCATTGTTGCTGTGTTCATCCCTCTGCCCTCAAACAAGATCAGCTCTCCCTTGGGAATATTTGTGTGAGTTTTAAGGAAGCTTTTTGGTTTTGATAGATTTTGATTTCCTGCTTTCTCTACGGATCATTTTTGTGTCAAATGCAAGTTTAAAATGTAATTGAATTTCTCATTTAAAAAGTCAGCCCCCATCTGAGTCTGCTGGGTTTGGCAAGGCTGGAAGTTGGGGTGCAGTGGTGAGAAGTGATAAAAGTATCTGGGCTCCAGTTCTGGTGAATCCAACTCTTTAGAGATTATTGCCACAAATAACTTAGGAAAACAAATATGACTTATTTAAATGGTTCATTGTTTTTTATAGTAGAACTGTGTCTTGAACTTACACAAAATAGGATCTGCTCTTATTTAAAAATAGATGTGTGTTAATTCTCACTTCAGAATTTTACAGAGATAGTTATGAGGGCTGATGTGGGGGAGGCTGTCTCCAGTGGCTGCTTCTAAGGAAGAATCTGTACATTTAGACTGAAATTAACCTTTGTGAATTGTCCTCTAAGCAGTTTCCCAAAAACTACATAAGAAAGAGGTATTTGATGTCACTGCATGTTTCAGGCTCTTCATTTTGACATCAGCCAAGTGCTGTATTCCAGTCCTGTATTTCTGTGTAAACTGATTTTATTTAAACAAATCTGCCTAACTCTTAAAGGTTTCCCTGGTGGCAGGGAGTGAGCACAGGTATTTATTTATTCAGCCTTCAGCCCATGACCTTCCTCTAGAGGTGGGTTGTGTCTCTATAAATGTGGAAATGAACAAAGGAGTGTTGGACATTTTACCTCCTTGATTGGAGGGACATCCTGATTATGCTGAGTTGCTACAAAAAACTTTGCTTCCATGTGGCCTTGCTTTACCTTCAATAAACATTTTTCTATTTTTTTTTTATTTGAAATGCTTTACCAAGTTTGTTTGTTTGTTTAAATCCAAGCTCTGACAGAACCTTCTGACACAGCAGAATTTCACAAGCTTTGCAGAGGTGAGGGACCTGGGGCGGTGCTTTTATAATAGAAACTTTTAGATTTTACCTTTAGGCATGCTTAGGCTGCTCTAAGTGGGCCTCATGTTTTCTGCTACACTTTGACAAAAAGTTAAATAGAATTTTATTTATTTCTAACATTTTTACCTGTGTACTTTTAAATTGGTTTTGCTTTTTTTTCAGCCTTATCATCTCTAACACACTAGTTTTTCCAATGTATTTGATTCCAATATTTGAATTTTTTCCTTTCCCTTATTCTATAAAGAAAGAAGCTTGTGTAGGAAGTGAGGAGATCCAATCACAAGGCTTCATTAGTAAAAAAGGGAAACACCTGAGGCACATCTGCCTTCTCACACAAGACTTCCAGCTTTGCTTGTCCCCTGCACGCATCACTCTCCAATCTTGTCATTTGAAAACTTTGTCAAGAAAAATATATTGCTTTCCTTTTACATAGCTAATTGTGCCTTCCAGCAGGCTTTGATCTGCTGGGTGCAGGAGTCCCATCCATTTCCTGTGCAATCCTTATTTTTTAAAGCCTTCTACAATTCTGAGGGATCCCGAGTGAGAAGGAAACCCTCAGCTTTCAAGAGAGCCCTTGCAGATGGACTTCATGCACAGGGGATGTGCTGAATTCATTCAGGGTTGCCATGGCAACCCCCCTTTTTTTTTTCCTTTATCCAGAGAAAGATTGTTTTATCAGTGAATGTACCTTTCCACCGTACCCCATGGCTTTTGTCCACGGGTCTCACAGCTCTTAAAAGCAAGAGCCGGGCAGGCTCTGAAATAAGCAGTGTCACAGATCCTCGTTGCTCACTAATGCCCTTTATTCTTCAGCTCTGAGAGTACCAGCACTTAGTCTCTCCACCTCTTCTCTGGGGTTTTTGGCAGAAAACTGTCCCTTCCATACTGCATGAGGCCACATAATCTCAGGTTCTGGGTTTCCAGCATTATTATTTTACAGCCAGGAGATACAATCGTCAGTCTTGATGTTCTCCTGTCCCTTTCCCCTGATCTCAGAGAGTTCTTGGTCATCTTTTTCAAGATTCTGTTTTGCTGTGCACAGTGGCTCTCCTGCCCCGAGGAGCCAGATTGGTTCTGTTCCGTGTTCATATCACTGGCAGTTTTTTAGTGATTTAAAAGTAAGAAAATAAGGGAATAGAACCAACCAAGATGAAAAGGATGATACTGACTGTAATACACTAATCTCCTTCCAGAAGCCAGGGAGTTATTTCTCAAAATAAAGTGATTTGTCTTTCTCAAGGAATTATTCCTGACTTTCAGTCAGTCAGGATTACTCTGAGTCCATCCTGTCAAAGCACAGGGATGGTGCACAAGCAGTTCCTTACTGACAGCACTTTAACATCGAGTGGTGGGTGCCAGCTTCAGGAATGAATGTATATATTTTTATATATTTCCACACAGGCAAATGCCATTGCATATGGTTTTTTTCCTGTGTCAAATAAAAGGCCTTGCCCACAGATGGCTCTTGGGATTAAAAGGATTGGAAATAATAACACATTTCTGTTTTCAGTTAATAAATGTATTTTGCCATTATCCAGCAAGCAGCAGCAGCAGCATCCATCTGTGGAACATTACTTGGGTGTTGCTTCCACAAGAGAAATATCACAGGTAAAGTTATGTTTAGGCTGTCACTACATTAATTATGTAATTATCGTTAATTTACATTATGTTTTCATTTTATGGTGTTTCTAAAACAGTTTGGGTGGAGAATCCAGTAAATTGTCAAGAACTCATCACAGAAAAGGCTAATTTCAGATAATGTATTTTGTGCTTCTGATTTTTTGAGAATAGCATACAAAATTATGTGAGTATTCTGTATATAACCTCGGTGTTGATGTACTGGATAAAATATTCCATTAACATATGTCACTTTTAATTGTCTTCATTGTGCAGGTCCTGAGCTGATACTTGTGTGTGCAGAATGCTGTGGAGGCTCAGGGCTGGGCACTCAAATTCCAGCCCAACTATCCACTCCTGTTCCAGCCCCTGCCTGTGGGGTCTTTGCCCCTTGTTTTAGGGCCATGTCACAGATTTCTGATGGTATCTACAGAATCTGCTCCTGTCTTGGGCTTGCGGAAGATGTGCACAGTTTCCTTTCTGTGTGGCACAAACCTCTGATTTTGGAAGAAAAAAAGAGTTTAAATCACTTAAATCACCCAGTCACTTTGCATCCTGCAGTGGAATAAGAAAGGTCAGGCAATAATTTTTGTTCAAAAAGAAGACTTCAGTAGATGGATTAGGTTTATTTAATAGTAAAGAAAAGGTCATGGATTTTATTCTTTTATTCTCACGTAAATTGGTTTTGTAAAGTTGAAGTTGGTTTATCAGCATTTGTGTTCTATTGCTTTGTTATTTCAGTACTGGAGAAAAGGTCATCTTCTTGCTGGGTGTCTGATATTCCATGGTCCATTAAAACTGCATTATTTCTGCTGAATCTGGATTTCTTTTCTTGCGTTTTTTTCTCTCTGTTTCACCCACAACTTCACTTGTCCCAGGTGAACTCAGCTGCAGCTGGGTAGTTTGCCCTGCAGTCTGGTAGGGAGGGCCTGCACAGGATTGTATGTGTCCTGTTGGGGTTACAGAAACATGAGTGCTGTGCTAGCCTGACAAGCCATTTAGGTTCATATAGATTTTTTTTAGGTTTTGTTCACTATTCAAAAGTTTGAAGAGGTACCCACTCTAGCATTTTTTGTAAGGGAGTGAATTGCATTCTGGCTCAAAATGAAGTGTCAGTAGAAGACAGTGACTGAGTTTTTTGCCTAAAGGAAGAAAGAAAAATGAAAATATTTTAAAATATGGAGGTCTGATGAGAAATTTATGATGTGACTCTTCTGCTAAGGAAATTGTATTTTCTTACAGCCAGCTCATCACTGACTTGTTTGCCTTACTTCAGTTCTACTCCAGCAGTCTTTGAGGTGGCCAGAGAAGAACTAAAAAAAAAAAAAAATAAAATTACTTCAATGTGCTCATCAAATCAGAGGTGTTAAGCCAAATGAGTGTCAGTGGGGAAAGGCTTAATTTTAGGGTAGTGGTAGAAAAGAAAGTATTCACCTTTGTCTTCCTGTGTTGTCACATTAGTGTAAAGAAGGGGCTGGTGGAGTTGCCTTTTTATCAGAAATTACCATGCAGTTCTTTGCTCCTCTTGTTGAATGTGTGAATGTCAGCACAGTAATTACATGTGAACACAATTTTCAAACTGCCAAATATTTTTGCTTTATACTAAGTGCTGGTACTAATGATCAGGTGCCAAAGGCTGACATGAATTCACGTATAAAAAGTTATCCTCTGTATTTTTTCTTTATAGTTGTTCTGTTTCTTGTCAGCAGCACCTGTGTGCATGCACTTGGAGGTTAAAATTGCTCCTCAGAGGATTAGCAAATCTTCTGAATAAGTCTCAGCTGGGGCTATTGCCCTCCCACAGTTCCATCCCAGCTGCCCTTTGTTTCTTTCTCACTGCCACTGCTCTCAGATCATTCCCATTTCATGTTCCTTCCTTATCAGTTCATCTCACACTCTCTGGAAGCAAACTTCATACTTTGATCAGCATGTACTTTTAAAAAATGTTGGTGGAGAAGAGGAGATACTGGAGGCCTGCTGCTGCAGAGGTGGGGGTAAGTAGGCAAAACTGATATTGCATAAGCCCAATGTCACCAGCAAAGTTACTTCTTGATTTGGAAAATATGGACTCCCTGTAGCCCTAACAAACAAGAGGTACTCTCTAGAGTCTCAAAAATGCAGTAGTTAATACTTCATGAATATAATTTCACATCTTGTTGGAGATTCATTGGGTCTGATGACATAAATATTCTGATAGCACTGTGTTGATTTTTCACAAATGAGGGAATGGTAATCAAAATAATGTATGGCTGTGGACTCCTGATCTGCAGGAACACCTGAAGGTTATTTCTCTTTGGCCTTGTTCTTGTTATGAAGGTGGAGTGTGCTCTAAAAGGGAGACATTAAATCAAAGCTCACCGTGTTCTGGAGCCCTTATAGCACTAATAGCTATTGACACTACAAATTATGTTGTCTTCATTAGGATTTTTGCCTTTAAGTGACTCATTGAAGTTAAAAGGCTTCTGTATACCTGCTCATTAGAAGGTGCTGCTCCAGTACTTAGGATTAAATGGAGCCCTTTGTAGCCTGCTTGTGTAGGTCACACAGGTCCCTGAGGGAAGAGGGACAGAATTCTGCATCACATTAATATGTAAATTATTAAAACAAGTGCTGATTTGTTTGTATTTTGGCCAAGGTGTGAGCAGGTGTTTGAAGCTGTGCTGTTTGTGCTCCTCCAGAAAGCTCCACTTTGCTCCCCTGGCCCATCCCTGCCCCGTGCAGTTCTGGGGGTGCATTTGCCAAGTGCCCACCTGCTCTGGAAGGCGAGAGCTCCCAAGAGGAAGCAGTTTGTGCTGTGGCACTGGATTATTGGGTCAGGCAGCAGAGTTCTGCACGCAGTCACTGGTGTGGCCTGCAGTGCTTTGCTGGGCAGTCACATTTGCAGCAGTGCAGAGCTGCTCTGTGTGGTCACTGCAGGGACAGCAGCTGAGTGACAGGGGCTTCATAAGCACAGTCCTGTGCCCAAGGCTTACTGCATTAATGACAGCTAGGGGCAAGTTTAGTGGCTTTTGTCCATTGTTCTTTGGGTTGACCAGGCTTGTCTGCAGGGTCTGAAGCAGCATGGGAGTGGTAAAACACCAGTTGCTTTGAAAGGGTGCATTTTGACTAAATTTGAGAAGTATTGCAGGTGCACACGGAGGAGCTGGGTTTCACTTTTCTGCAAAGCAAGGCAACACCTGGCTTGGCTCAGCAGGGGAGGTACAGCTCCTGTTCAGCAGGGTTTTCCTGAGCAGTTTGTCCCATATATTCTGTTGCTATGGGAAACCATAACTAGCTAATTCCTGGCATAGTGTAGCTGAAGGTCCAAAGTAATGTGTTACAAACAACACATCATCATCATATGGTCCTGTCACAGCTTCTCAATTAATTTATCTAGGTCTGCAGATGGCCCATGTCTTTGGTTGTGTATAAATCAGGCTTGGGGTACATCCCTATCTGTGTATATTTGTATTACTTAGAGTCTATTCTAGGCCAGTGATCATACTTTGAATATCATATGTTCTCTAGTTTAATCATTTTGATGCCATATTCATGGAATCATAGAATGGTTTGGGTTGGAAAGGACCTTTAAGCTCATCCAGTTCCAACCTCCTGCCATGGGCAGGGATGCCTTCCACTAGAGCAGGATATTCCAACTTGGCCTTGAACACTTCCAGGGATGGAGAAGCTGCAGCCTCTCTATGCAGCGAATAGTGTAGCTCTGTGATCTTATGTAAACTGATAACGTGGCTGAAGAAAACACCAAAATATTCTCTATTTGGTGGCTGTGCATACAAGTTGTAATGATCAAAGCATCACCGCTTATTTATGTCCTGAGCAGAGCCATAGCCAAGGCAAAGGAAAAACTCACTGTAATCCTTGGGGATTGTGAGCCAAGCCCTCGCTTTTGTTTCTTAGTCTGCAGGAGACAAAGTAGATTTTTATGATTAGAGTCTGCATGGATAGTTGTTAAATCACCTTAAAAAAATAAAAAAGACACAAGGAGAGATGTAATGTGGAGAGTTTGTGCCTCACCACACTGGGATGGAGCTCATGTCAACTGAACTCCAAAAGGGAGAAAAAGGTTTTAATTTGGCATTTCCTGCAAGATCTCTATAGCAAGAGATTCTGTTAACCTCACCTGCTCCTCCACAGGCTGTCAGCCACTGATGTGATTGAGAAAGTTCTTATTATTAAGTTCTTCATGACTTCTATTGCCACTGATACCTTTCGGATCAAAGTAATATGAAGGCAGTTCATGAGGTAAGGCTTTTGAATGTGCACCCATTTCAGATATTGCTAAAAATAATGTCAATTTCCAGTAATTCTGAGTCAGCTTTTGATTACAGGAAGTCTAGAAGTCAACTTTAGCCTTTGTAAGAAAACTTCTGTTAGTGAAGCTTAGACCTAAATATTACCTTCCAAGTAGTGTTTATTTTGTAAGCATCATTTCAAGGTGCTCTCTTTGCTTAGAACTTATTTAGGTCTGTGCCTTTTTAGTAAAATATGTAGATTCAGGGATTTTTCTTGAATGTTTGTTTGTAAGGCTTTCCATAATCTTTTATGTGTAATGGCTTGAATTAATGTATGTGTTTTTTAGCTGAGCCCCAGTGGGGAAATATATGCATGAAAATAAATTACTGTAGGTGGAACTAATTAATTCCTTGATTGGCAGGCTCAGCAGATAAAGTCCTGAATAGGATAATGTGGAATGTCTTTGCTATTTGGCCTCAGTTGTACCTGGCCAAGAACTTCAGGTAAAACCTCTCCTCTTCTGACTTTGTAGCCTCAAGGCAAGGGCTGAAGAACTGAACTGATGTGAAGACAAAATTATCAGTCCAGCCTTCTGTAATCCTGTGTACATCGTCCTTGGAGCCAGGCAGGGGCCTATCAAACTATCAGGGAGATTTGCTTGTCTCACTGATATAACTTCAGCTCCTTGCTGAGGCACTGCCTTATCACCACTGACAAGATTACAGTGGTTTCCTTGATAGTGTGGGGAACTTAGCAGGCAGCTGTGGCTAATCCAGAAGGAAATGTTCTCCCACTGAGGTACATGGAGATTTGAATGCTGCAAATATATTTGAAAAAAGAGTATCATTTTTAAAAGCATGTTAATTCTCATTCTGCTTGCTGATGCATAGCTGCAGATACAGGTTAGCATTACTGCCCTCCTGTAAAAGCCAAGAACTCAGCCTGGACTGGTGCTCATTGGCTTCTTGTGGAAGCTGGGATGAGAAATCCACGTGCAGCACCCTGAGGCACACAGGCCATCTTCTGGGGACACTCTGGGAGGTGATCTACTGTGAAGCTGATGGTTTGTGTCACACTCTGCTGCTGTGATAGCAAAAGGCACAAGTTCATCTTTGTCTGTGTAAAACTGGACTCTGAGATTTGTGTCTTGGCTGGGGAGTTGGTGCTCAAAGCCATACAGTAAGACAAGGGGCTCAGGTAATTTTCTGGGGTGCAACAAGCTTGGCCAGGCTCATTTCATCTGTGTGAGAAGAGCCAGTTTGGTCTCTGTAGAAAGTGAGCCCCCCATTTTTCTCTTCTGGGGCTGGTGGGTTTACCCTGCCTGGATGCCATTTGCCCACCAAAGCCCTTCTGTCACTCCTGTTCTCAGAGGAAACGTGTGCACTTAGGAGACAACTGGCACTGTCAATGCCTGCACTAGAGTAGTGAAAGAGCTCACAACAGCCTGTGGCTGGCTGCCCCTGCTTCAAGGCAAATGTAAATTAGGAAAACAGACTTAAAATTGTTTCCCAGGGTTAAGGGGCTGCTTTGATGGAGAACAAACAGTGAAAGGAAATGAGCACACTTATTATATTCCTGCAGAAGGCAGAAAGGCGACTGAGTTACATGTGTTACATAAACACTGAGGGACAGAGATGAGTCCCTGCAGTCCATAGAGCACATGAATGGGGGTAGGCAGAACAGTGTTGGTGTGGATTAGCTCAGACTGTACAGTTACTGTGTGTTAGAAGTGAAACAAAAAATGTAATTTTATTGCTAATACAGCAGAAATAATTTAAAAAGGGAGTTGTGTTGGGAGGCATACCTTAATGCTCAGGTAGGTTTGGGACTCTCTTATGAGGCTCTTTAAATTTTCTTTTTGCTGTCCTTGCTGTTTAGACCTGGAGAGCATTTTGTTGTTGTTTCACTTTTTCTATTTGTTACCATAGAATAAAATACTTAACTGAAAGGGAAGAATGTTTTGAAGTAAGAAAAACCTATTTTCAGTGAGTTAGAAAACTAAACCACTGATATTTACCAGTACATCAGTCCATATTAGTTTGGTAATAACTCTTTGTGCTTGAAAAGTTTTACCTGCTTGGCTGCTTCCTTTGGGACTAAGAATTGACTGAAAGAGAATTTCAATAAGTGCACTGCTTCCAAGGGCTTTGAACAACATGCAGTGGGCAAGGGTTGTGTAGTGTTGTATTGTATTGTATTATCCAGGATTTCATTCTTTGAAGAGATGGAGAGAGAGCAAGCTAACAGTGTGTTTAGTTCTGAGTCACTTATGTGTCCAGCCAAACCTATTGGCATACTTCCAGTACATGAACCTTTTTCCACCTTTATGGGAGGGACTCTTTGTATGTTTGAAAGAAAAGAAGTTGAGCCTGCCTCTTGAGATTCCAAGAACAGCAGTATTTCTGTCTTTTTTCCAAGATGGCATAAGTGTGGCTCTAAGGAGCTTTGCAGCTTGTGTAGGTGTTTTACCAAAAGCTCCAAGAAGAAACAGAGTCACTTGCAGTTAGTTGTTGAATAGTCCAGCATGTAATAGTTGAGGTGAAAAACTGCAGCAGTTGTGCTGTGGGCACTGTTCAGTTCTGGGACATTTTCTCACACTGGGTGAGGACTGGTATACTTGTACCACAGGAGGTTTGACTCAGTTACATCACTGAGTCATGGAAATGAAGCTGGTGCTGTTTGCCATGTGATTTGCAATGACCAAAACCATTGTGGCAGAAAGAGACACTTCAGAACAAAGTGCTCTGTTGTGGAATATGAACTGTCCCCAGTGCTGCTGCTGTGACACTGCAGCTGGACAGCTGCATTACACAGCACTGCTCCCAAATCCCACTCTGCATTTAGAGTCAGGGAAAACTCAGACCGAAATATGACACAGTCCCATTGCAGACACTATGAAGTAATTAGTTCAGTAATTCCAGATAAAAAAATTTAATCTTTCTATAGAAACAGTGCACTGTTTTACAAACGTGTTCATTTGGTTTCCAGTACAGCAAGTGTTACACAGAGCCCCCCACCCCTCCCTGGGCCTTTTGTCTGGAAGGTAAGAACTGAAACACAAAAGGCACCAAGCAAGAACTTACTCTAACAGAACTTCAGTATGACAAGACAGAGCAGAAATGATTACAATGTTAAATATCACCTACCAATCTGAACCATTATTTAAAATAATTAACTTCTTAAAAAACAAATTTGGTGTTTGACTTCTCAGTAGTTATAAATCTGTAAAGGTTGAAATCAGCACTGCACATTGAGTTCATTTACAATGGTTTGAAAAAACCTGCAGCCTTTTACACGTGGTTTGTACAGGTTTGTTTGTGTGTTCTTAAAAAAGTATCAAAACTGTAGAACTTTCTTATATATTTACATTCGTCTGTTAGTTACAGTGTTATCACATAAAGCCTTTCTCAGCTTTTTCTTCATGCACACAGTGCATGGATTTATAGAGAGCTTCATACCTTAAAACAATAATGGGATATCTCACTCATGTTGTCACTGCCTTAAAATCTAAAATTTGGAATAGAAGGATGCTTGATTACTTCTGTATTGTCTATGCAGGCCATGAGGCATTTGAGAGTATGTATTATGGATGTAATGCATACCAGGGCTTTAAACACTTTCTTTCTTAGTCAAGAATCAGCTTCCAGCTCACATTACTCTGTAAATTTATTCTAAAAGAAAGGGAAAAAAAAGGAAAAAAACCCCAAACCTACTCAGCCTGAGTTTCTTCTACTCACTCAAATACAAAAGCTTGGACTGACATAAAAACATGAGGAAGATTTCTCTAGGATTTGGTACAGTTCAGGAAGGTGCTAGTCCATTATGCAGTGGGAGGTAAGTGTATTCACTTCCCACAGAATTCCCAGGAAATCCTATAGAATGAGATGAGAAAAACCAAGTTTTTCCTGCCAGGTGCAGGACGATCCAGCCAGAGACCCTGGAAAGGCTGGGTTTTTTAACCTGCCCTGGCCTCCTTGCCCAGTGCCCTGAGAGACCTGCCAAGGGACAGCTTGTTCCATGGGCAGGACTTGGGAAGAGTTCTGTGTGTGCCACAGCAGCTCCTAATTTTTTTTATTTTTTTTTTTATCAGTATGAGCAGGGGACAAGGGCAAGGAGGGAAGGAAGTGACTTTTGTTATTGTGCTATTTTCTGATGAACCAGGGAGAGTGCTAACTTGGGAGTGTGGAAATATATGGCTAAATCTTTGTTTCTGTTAATTCTGAGCTGATTTAAGAGATGCAAGATCCCCTGTGTGGAAAAGGATTTAAATTTACATTTAGAAACAAATGAACAAAAACCAATCAGATTTGTACCAAGCTGTAAAAAGCAACAATACAGCACAAAAACCCTGGGTGCTGTAGGAGTTCTCCTGACTGAAATGCTGTAGGCAATAGCTCTCCAGTTTAATGCACTGCATGGATTCTTCATGGATAGACTGGAAAATGTAAAAGCAGCCCTTAAGAGCCAGGATGGAAATCAGGAGCTGTTTGTTATGGAGTGCTTCACTGGTCAGCTATCCTACACTACAGCTCTTCCTTACATTGTGTCTTTAGATTTCAAAGCAAACTTCTCAAACATCCTGTAAAAATTCAATTATTCCTAATTTTCATAAATGTAGGCTAGTAGTTTTAAAATATATGTATATATATTTATATATATGTATATATTTATATGCCTATATATCTATCTCATCCAGATAGATATATACACAGATAATCTATGCACAGCAAGCCAAACATACAAAAAATAAATACTCTCACCCCTCTACTGTATTTACAGAACAGATTTTATAATCCAGATTTTGTTAATAAATATTTCTAAACTGCCTGTACAGAATTTATTTTACTTATGTTGATGGATAGCCACAAAGCATATTCAACATATTTACAAAATATCTATAAATATAGTCTTAAAATAAAGCAATAGCTACTGAACCTTCAGCCTGGCTGGTTATGTACATTGAGTTAGTAGCTCAGCTGTTGCTTATTCACTATCACAAATGGGTAGTGCAACAAGTTAAAATGTGTATAAAAGATTATACATACAAAACTCTCACATCCTTTGGATGTTTGCAGTTCATTATAACTTTGTGGTTACCCTTCTGCAACATAAATAATGACCAAAAAGAAGAAGCAGGTTCTGTGATCCAAAGCAGATTTGTTCAGTGTTCAGATGACTGGAGCAGCAGCTTCATCCTCATGGCAACCCATCATCTTCTAAGCTCAGTGCTACACGCTGGGGAGAGAAAAACACACTTTTGTGACCTGTGATACTGGGGCTAACTTGTATTTCTTGTTAGAACTCTCATGGCTGTCCCTACTGTATTGGTCACAAGTCTGTTGTAAATAGTGATTTTTTTTCCTCCTCAAATTAGGTCATTTGCTCAAGTGTTACTAGAGAGGTGCTGGGAGGTTTTCTGCCCATGTATATTGGCTAAAATTCCTTGTAAGGGATGGCACTTTCTCCAGTGTGATCTTGTGTGGGACCTTTAAATCATAGAGGACATTGTCCTGCCTGCCCACAGGAGCTGTGCTGCCTTCAGTCATTACTGTGGATCTTCCTGCTCTCTTCTGAAAATACAGTGCACTTACACCTGCCAGTGCTCCTCTCCCCAGGGATGCTGCTGTGAGGGAGGATCCTTTCCCTTAACTTCTTACAGAACCTTCTCCTTGTGAGGAATGTGACTTTTCTTTATACTGTTACAATAGAAAAAATATTCTCCCTGGTTTGTGGAGAAACTCAATTTATCTTTAGGATAGTTTGGGCATTTGGTAGCAGCCTAAGCACAGATAAAACAGAATCCAGCAGGGGATGAGTAATCACCTGTCCCATCCTGAGGTAGATCTTGAGGGAGCTTTACATTTGTCAGATTGGTACCTTGATTAGGACAATTATTCTTCATTTGAACTGAGTATCTGATCCAGAGCACTTCATTCTAAGACACCTGCATGGGCTGCCAGAAGTTTAGGCCTCTGCCTAATCAATGCTACTAAAGAAGTTCTGGTTTTTGTCATTATGTGGCCATTAAGCAACACTAATCCACATTCTGTACTGGAGCTCTCAACAGCCATCTCCTCAGGTACTTACTGCAGGGTACACGTGTCCAATTTGGGCAGTTCGCCCAATGTGGATTTCGTCTTCATCTTCCTCTTCTGTTGTCTTCCTATAAACTGGATTATCAAAATTCATGCTTTTAGTATTCTTCCTCTTCCAGTTTCTCCAGATGAGGTATCCCCCCATGCACAGCAAGCCAATGACCACTGAGGAGAGGGGAGAGAAAGGGCTCTTAGGCAGGCATGGATCTGCTGGGATGTTCCCATGTTGGCAGCCATCCTCACAACATTTTCTCAAAGCTGGGCTACTGTTCCCCAGTTCAGCAGTTACTCTTTCCCACCCCACCCCTGAAAACTGGAAAAATGTATTTACTGTGGTAAATACAATATTTTGGTATTGCAATTTGGTGAACTCCTTCAAAGGTTAAATCCAATCTGCTTACCCACAGGAATGACAATCCCAATCACAGCTGCTGTCACAGTTGAACCAAAGCCTTCATCATCATTTGCATCTGTAATTAAAGAAGTGTTCTGATCATTTAACTCATTTGCTGCTTTAAAATAATGTTTTCTGTTAGTAGTTGAGCTGTTCTGCCTATGAGAAATTATATATCTTTAATTTTGCAATTAAAGAATTTACAGAAAGTTTCATAATAAAATTATTCTGGTGCCACTGAGCAGCACACAGGGCTCTGGGCTGAGCTGCTCCTTCTCCTGAGGAACGAGGTCCCTGCAGTGTGGCTGTGTCACCCAGGGACAGGGACAGGGACAGCCCAGAGCTCGGGGCCAGTGAAGGGACACACTCCAGGGCTGTCAGAGCAGCTCTGACCAGAAATGGGTGACTGTGTTTGGGCCTCCAATTTTCACACATAAAAAAGGAGGCCAGTTTTAAAAACCTGACATTTAATGGAAATGCCATGCAGGCATCGGGGGATGGTGAATAGCATTCCTAAAAATCCACAACAGAACACTTTTAGTACTGACACAATGAATGACTTATTGAGCTGTCAGAAAAAGAATGTAGTTCAAAGCCATCTACACAGCTTCTCTGTTTAATTTTTTCCTTTTTTCTTATTTACAGCTAAGGAGTTAGTGAACACATCTATCCCTCATTGCTGCAGCCTGCCCCAGCATGCAAGAGTGGTTCCAAAACTCAATACTGTACTTAGAAAAAAGCAATTACAGGAAAATATAATTTAA